GTTGGGAGTGTGTGTGTGTGGGCGGGGGGGGGGAGGGATGTATCTGAAAAAAGGAAAGACTAAGAGTTGAAAGAACAAAAGACAGAGAGAAAAACTTCTGTCAGCATTCCCCCACCCCCCGCTTTTATCATAAACCAGTTAAATATTTTTATTTCTCTTACTCCATTTTTCTTCTGCTTTAACAAAATAAATGGTGTGAGTTTAGGGACCGATTGAACAAAGCAGTTGGGCATATGTGAAGATTGGTGTGTCTGTCATCTTCCTGCTCCCTGTTCTTCTTTCAGTAGGCGGTATGTCTTGCTGTTGTCCTCACATGCCTTATCCTGCAGCCCACAAGATTGCACCTCAAGTATCAAAAATGCTTCCAGGCCCTCACTTAACATCCCCTGCTTGTACACGATAGAATGCCTGGAGTCTTGCATGGATATACTTGTTGAAACTCACATATTTTCTAGTTACATCAAGGCTTCAAGCAATAGGCTTCAAGGATGACAAAGGGGTGCGATGGAAAAGGTTCATCAGCATAGACAACTCGGTCCTCACAGGTCAGCTGAGGAACGGATAGAATGGGGTTTCTCCAGTATTTTCATAAGGTATAGTCTGAATATCATATAAAGCATAACTTCATGCAACAGGTATCTCGATGTACCTCCAGTATGCAAGCAACATGCTTCTTTGGAGTCCCATGCAGTCTCTGCACTATCCCGTTTCCTTAGGGACGGACACAGCAGACTTGTAATGTACTGTATCAATACTTGTCAGAAACCCTTCAAACTCTCCTGATAGAAAAGGTATCCCATTATCTGAAACAAGGCTCTCTGCTAGGCCAAACATAGAAAATAAAGTGATTAGGCGAGAAATGAGCTCCTCTGAGCTGCCTTGTGAAATTATGAATGCAAAGGGGTAACAGTCAACAATCAAGGTGCCAGTTGTACCCAGCTGCAATTCTCTGCTATGGGCTGTCTATGACTACCAGTTTCAAAGAGGCCAGAGGAACAGTAGTTCTATGCATTGTGCAGGCTGAGCATGACGTCATATGATGTTCAATGTCTTAGTGCAGCCCTGGCCACCAAGCAAAACTAGGCAGAAATTCCTCCATCTTTGTAACTTCTAAATGACCTTCATAAGCCACATCCAGGACTGCTTGTCGCATTGCTGCTGGAATTATTACCCATGCTCCTCTGCATAAGATACATCGAGCAGCACGTCTTCACTCGGAATTCAGAACACATTTTGTAGAATGTAAATGATGTTTACTTAAGGACTGGGTTGGGCCAACCCACTTGTACAGCATATATCACCTTGCACAGTCCAACATCCTGAGAAGTCTGCCCTAAGTCAACTGGCATATCTTTCTAAAAGCATATAGTGTACTCTGCCATTTCTGCATACAAGGGTGCCTATGTCTTGAAAGAGCATGGGCAAGTAAATTACCCTGACAGGTGTTTGGGTGACTTGTTCTTAAAAATCTCCAGTGATGAGGATTCCACAGCCTCCCTTGGAAGCCTGTTCCAGAGCTTAACCATGTTTATAATAAGACAGATTTTCCTAATATCTAACCTAAATCTCCCTTGCTGCAGATTAAGCCCATTGCTTCTTGTCCTACCTTCACTGGAGACTGAGAACAATTAATCACCATTTTCTTTATAACAGCCCTTAACATAGGTGAAGACTTTCAGGCCCCCCCCCTCAATCTTCTCTTCTCAAGTCTAAACAATGCCCTGTTTTTAAAAAGTCTTTCCTCATAAAGGGTTTAGAAATCCAGAACTATCATGTTTGTTGCTCTCCTTCCATTAGTCCACCTCTTTCCTGAAGTGTGGCACCCAGCTGACAAAGCTGTTTCAAATAGAGGACCCCGAAGAATGCCTGCGCGTCATCATATATAAAGAAACTCTGGACCCATCAGCCTCCCCACGGTTGCAAGGCTGTGACTGCCACTCCTGAGAGGGGTAAGCACAGTAGAGCTAACAACCATCAGCTCAGTTTAATGGAGGACTCTCAAGTAGTTCAGGCTCTTGATAAAATGAGCCAGGGAAAGACAAGGGTCTGTGTAATGGACATTAGGGATGGATGAACTAGTTTTTATAAAAGAAAACAGTGAAGCGCATAGCTGGGACCAGTTTCATATTGCAGAGGAAGATGGGGGTCCTGTGGGATATGGTATGGGAGCTCTCAGATGATTCTGAGCCACAAGGTGCAATAGGGTGCACTATATATTGTCAGAGGAACTTATCATTATTGTTATTTAGAGAAAAACAAAACAGCCGGGCTCATTTTCAGGTAGAAAAAAATCTGAAAAAGGCACAAAATAGGCAATTTTAGGTACCTGTTATAGGTAGTTTTCAGCTGACATCACATACAGTGGAGATATTTTTTAAAAAGGAATAGATATAAAAATGTGATATGGTCCCTTTAATGAATTAGGTGTTCTGTCACCCAGGCAATGGGCCAGATTTTGCAGTGGTTAAATGCAGCTTGAATGTAAACTGGTGTCGAATGGCCTAATCCAAAGCCCATGGAAGTCAATAGAACTCTTGCTGTTTACTCCAATGGATCAGACCCACGATGGACATACTATAGATGGGGGCTGGTGGTTACACGCACGGCTTTGGCATTCAGTGGGTGGGCAAAAGGAATGTTATTAACATATCAAGGGGCTTGATCCTGCCCCCACTGAAATAAATGGCCAAGCTCCCACTGATGTCAGTGAGGCAGGGGTAGCTCCCAAGAGGTGGTGGGTGGGACACCGGAAAA